GAGGGGCACGCCGACGACGAGGCCTCGACGGGGATGCGATTGATGGCAGGTTGCCGTCGATGGGGTGACCCGGCGGGGCTCCGCCCCGCACTGCGCCTCGCCGCCTCGACGCCGAGGTGCCGATGTTGACCCCGCCGGCCGTGCGTCCGCCGCCCATCACGTCGCCGCGCGGCACGCCCCAGGCACGCCCCAGGCACGCCCCAGGCACGCCCCAGGCACGCCCCAGGCACGCCCCAGGCACGCCGGGCTGCAGTCCGACTCTGTGAGGCGCGTTCGTCGCGCCGTCTCCCTCGCACCGATACGGGACGCCCCGTGAGTGCGAGAGAGACAGTGACGAGAACGACTCTCGGAATCAGTCAGCTGGCGGGCCTTTATGAGCTTGCGGTGCCTCGGTGCAGGCGGCGTCTGCCCGCTAATTAGCAAGGCGATGAGCCCCTCCCCTCCCCTCCCTTCCCCTCCCTCCTCCCCGTCGTCGTCGCCATCAATGGCAGATCGTGATGCCTGGCCGCGGCCGCCGTATGCGCGCTGATTGTGGCCCGCACGGTGGCCCCGGCCCCGGCGACCCCCGTCGGCGAGGGCCTCGTCGTCGGCGACCCCGGGGGACAGACCGCCGAGGATCGTTTCGTCTCTCTGTCTCTGTCGCACTCATGGGGCGTCCCGTAGCGCTGCAAGAGTCGGAGAGAGCGACGAAACGATCGTTCGGAATCGCTCGATGGGCGGGCGGAGTATACAGTGTGTCAGGGCGTCGGCGATGGCGGTCGCGGTGGTGCGGCCCGCTGCAGCCGGACTGGGCGATGCAGGCCGCAGTGCGTCGCCGCCGTCTCTCTCGCTCCGCCGCGGCGCGCCGCGTGAGTGCGAGGGAGTCGGAGCGACGCACAGTGGGCCAGAAGACCGGTGGAGGCGGCCAGAACTCCAGACGCGTTTTGAGCTCCAGAGTCGCTGAATGGGACTCGAACCGACCGAGTGACCCCACTAATGGATTGCTCCCCGATCGAGGAATCCATTGTTGGGGTCACACGTTCGGTTCGAGTCCTGCTTAGCGACTCTGGAGCTCAAAACGCGTCTAGAGTTTTGGCCGCCTCCACCGGTCTTCTGGCCCACTGTGCGACGATGAAAGCCCTTTTGTCCGGAATGGGTCGGCTGCTGGCGCCGCGCCGCGACGCGCTGAGCGACCGTCCCCGTTTTGGCGCGTTGCATGCAAAGCAATGCAGAGGAGCGCATGCCGACGCGTCCTCGCTGCGCCCTGACGGCCTCACGGATTCAGAGGTGTGTGTGTGTGTGTGTGTGTGTGTGTGTGTGTGTGTGTGTGTGTGTGTGTGTGTGTGTGTGTGTGTGTGTGTGTGTGTTTCGGAGGGTGTGGGCAGTGGGGGTAAAGGGACGCAAAACAGTCGCTTTTCAGTCCTGTAAGTACGTAGAGGGACCTTTCGAGACAACTCTCCTCCCTCCCTTGACCCCCAAATCGCCTCTGGATCCGCCCCTGCCCCCACGGGGTGCCCCGAGGCGTGCGCCTCCCAGGGCCCCGTCCCGTCGTGGACGTCGCCGGCGGCCTGCCCGTCGGTTCAGAGAAGCGGGACGTCGCCGCTGACGAGTTTATCGCGGTGGCCGCGATCGAGGGCGATGGCTCGATTTCTGGGGAACGCCGATGGGGATCTGGCGGCGCGGGCCTCGACGGCGTCCTGGGCGACTGCCGGTGGCGGCGGCCGGACGTCAGGGGCGGACCCTTGCGGACCCACAGGCAGCCTTGGAGGGATGGGCGAAGGAGCACTCTTCGTCTTCGTGCAAGGGGAATGGGTGACTAACCTTTCAGGCGGCTGTGTCGGGGACAAGAGGTTTAAACGTCCCCTGGGTCCGCGTCCGGGTGACGGACAACGACGGGACACGCGCTGCACTGTACGGACAAACTAACGCGACCGTCCCGTCCGTCCGTAAGCCGTCTGTGGCAGTTTCCGTTTTGCACTTGGTCGCGTCGGCGCTGCGGTCCCCGCTGCGAGCCGCAACACAGTGGGCCAGAAGCCGGTGGAGGCGGCCTAAACTCAGGACGCGTTTTGAGCTCCAGAGTCGCTAAATGGGACTCGAACCGAACGCGTGACCCCACCAATGGATTGCTCTCCGAACGAGGAATCCATTGGTGGGGTCACACGTGCGGTTCGAGTCCCATTTAGCGACTCTGGAGCTCAAAACGCATCTGGAGTTTCAGCCGCCTCCACTGGCTTCTGGCCCACTGTGCGCAAGCTGCTTGCGCCTCGCGAATCATCGCTCCTTAAAAAATGCCTCCGCGAACCGAAAAGGAGCAAAGCGACGCTCGACGCGTCATTAATACTGCGACGCGCTTACTCCGCGAGAGGAATGCAGATAAATCATGGCGAATGAGATCCGCGTACAAATGACGGACGACGGCGAGGTGCTCGAGTCCCTCCGAGCCCCTCGTCGCCGCCGCGGCCATTAGTCTGTCGCTCCGTCTCTCTCGCACCCCTGGCGGGCCTGACGGGCCTGACGGCACGCACAGCGAGTGCGAGAGAGACGGAACGAGTCGGCCTGCAGGCGGGGCGCGGGGCGCGGCGGGGCGTTTCGCGGGGGAAACTTTTAATTTGTACCGGATGATACGCGCGTCCGCGCGGAGCCGAGGGAAACGGTGGAGCCTTTCGGCGGAATTAAGTTTCAATTTCATGACGGGTCAAAAGGCTGCCGGTTAGTGGGAAGGCGAGTCGGTCATAAATCTCTCCTTCCACTTGCAAAACACGCAGACACGCTCACGCTCTCTCTCTCTAATCCACACGTACACTCACGCACACACACACCTACACACACACACACACACACCACACACACACACACACTACACACACACACACCTACACACACACACACACACACACACACACACACACACACACACACACACACACCAGCGCGTGGCCTTGGCCCTGGCCCGCCAGGCCCCTCTCTTCAGCCGCTCCGCCCCGCACAATCTCATTGAGGACCCCGTTGGCCGTCCGATTCAATCGCCTTGGATCCGCCCGTCCCCTGCCTGCCCTTCCCTTCCTCGGCCGCCGCGTCGTCGCTCTGCATCGGCAGATGTCCGACAGTGTACAGCTCTCCTCTGTCTCGCTCGCACTCGTGGGGTGCTCCGTTGGCGTGCGAGAGAGACAGAGCGACGGGGCACTCGCTCGGAGTCAGCCCGCGCTGTTTGTGTTGGGCTGCGGCGCCTCGGCCCACAGTGGGCCAGAAGACCGGAGCAGGCGGCCAAAAGTCTAGAGACGCCTTCTGAGCTCCAGAGTCGCTAAATGGGGCTCGATCCGAACGTGTGACCCCACCAATGGATTCCTCGTTCGGAGAGCAATCCATTGGTGGGGTCACACGTTCGGTTCAAGTCCCATTTAGCGACTCTGGAGCTCAGAAGGCGTCCAGAGTTTTGGCCGCCTGCGCCGTTCTTCTGGCCCACTGTGGGCCTGCCGCTTGCCGGCTTTTGGCCGTCGCGGCCGCGACTTCGGCGGCGAGATGACAATGGCGCGCTGATGGCGCTGCGCGCGGGCCGGCCTGGCATGGCGGTCCGAGGTCGCCGTCAAGTCGCCGCGCCGTGCCTCTCTGTGCCACGCCGTGCCACGCCGTGCCCTGCCGTGCCGTGGTGACCATGGCGAAGGCCCGGGCGGGGCGCTGCGTCGTCCGTCACGTCACCTGCTTTTTAATAACCTGTCTCGGTAACGCGGCGCAGTACGCGCGAGTGTGTGTGTGTGTGTTTGTGTGTGTGTGTGTGTGTGTATGCATGTGTGTGTGCTGAAAAAGGATGCGCGTCGTCCGTGCCGAGGTGGAGGTCACTGGAGCGGGACGCGGAGGAGAGGAGGAAGGCGGGAGTGCGGCGACGACGATGAGCATCATGAGGATGAGGATGGTAATGAAGGCCCTGGAGCGTAGGGGACACTGGACTCTGGCTCCGAGGCGCCGACTCCGTGCCAGAGGTTGAGTTCCCGAGGCGGAGAACCCCGTGGAGCTGGGCCGCGGGGCGGCAGGGCTGTCGGTTGGGTTGCCTATCCAGCGGTCGGCGGGCGCTTGGCGCGCCGCGCGTACCGCTTGTGTACGCTTGTGGCGGCAACGGCGGCACCGCATCGGCGGCCAAAACTCTAGAGGCGTTTTGCAGAGTTGCTAACCAGGCCTCGAATTGAGCGTGTGACGCCACCAATGTATTCTTCGTTCGGAGAGCAATCCATTGGTAGGGTCACACCCGTCCGGGGTTTTGACCGCCTCCACCGGTCTTCTGGCCCACTCTGCGGTGTGCTGCAGTGGCGCATCCTGAAGCTGCACAAGGGTGGAATGCAAAGTAATTCTTTCGACCTATTTTCTTCGGCGGTCGTTTGGAGCTCTGCCCCTACCACTGGATACACGGTCGGATGAATAAATAACCTTCGTCGAAACGCTGACTGCATTCCGAATGCGGGGTGTCATCTGCGTGCCTTGCGTTCAGACGCCCCGATTTCCTTCGTTTCGAGCAGCATTGCTTAGTGCATCCGATGCGCGTGTGAACAACACTCTACATGTTGAACAGTGAAGATTCTCCATACTATGGTGAAAAGGTTCCATACATATTATGGTGGTGCAGCTGACTTCATAACATACCATTGAGAATTCACTGTACTTATAGATAATTTGACTAACTTTGTTGGTATCATGGAGAAAATCTCCACCATAATATGTTGGTGCAGCCCTTCACCGTAAGAAATTTACAGTGAAGATGTTGAATATTCCCTGCAGACTTCTTCTAACGACGTGGGTCTCTCTCTGTTGCAGGGTGCCATGCGAGTCGCCGCGCTCCGTCCGTCGGCGCGGCCGTCGGCGGGGTGACGATGTGACGGCGTGCCATGGCCGACGAGGGCTCGGGGCCCCCGGTCGGCGGCGCGGCGACGGACACGCCGACGGCCTCCAACGCCTCCAGCGCCTCCAACGTGGCGGCGACGGTGGCGGCCGCGAGCCATGGCGCCGCCAGCGCCCACGGCGGCCTCGGCGGCGACCCCAGGGCCGCGGGGGTCATCTCGGGCGAGGACCCGTACCGCGACTTCGAGCTGTACCTGGAGAAGGTGGCGGTAGGTCCACAGCTGTCGCGTTTTGATTCGGTTTCTTCTGTCACTGTCGGCGTAGCGGGAGGTCCGAACTCGTGCGGACTGATTCCGGGTGTCACTCTGTGTCTCTCGCGGCCCCGTGAGTGCGAGAGAGACAGAGCGACGAAAACGACTCTCAGAGTCAGTGCGCTGGCCGCCGTGTTGAGCAGTACACTATAACAGACACGGCTTGGTGACGCCGCGCAGTGGACCAGGTACTACAGCGCCACGGCGCCGCACCGCGCGGCCACCGACCTCGCGCACGGGGCGTGGCGGCGCGCGGCGGGCCGGAAGCACTGATATGCCCCACGTGCACTGTGTGTGTGTGTGTGTGTTTGTGTGTGTGTGTGTTGTGTGTGTGTGGGTTGAGAGAGAGAGAGAGAGAGAGAGAGCGCCCCTTTTCCTGCACCGTCGTCCTTGTGCGACGCACCGCACGCACCCTTCTGCCGACCTTGAGAACCACGTGTTGCGCTTGGCGCCGTCCCCGCCGCGCCATGTCTGACAGGCCGCGCCGTGCCCCGTGGGCCGTGGCGTGCCCTGCCCTGCCGTTACCGCAGGCCTTCTTGGCGACCGCCGCCCCTCGAGAACTCGAGCTCGTCGCGGAACAGTGGCGTGGCGTCTCAATGAGCTGCCGGTGTCCGCTCCATTCATGCAGGATGCGCGCAGGGCGTGGCGCCCTACAGCAGACCGATTCCGAGAGTCGTTGTCGTCGCTCTGTCTCTCTCGCACTCATGGGGCGTCCCGTGGAGGTGCGAGAGAGACAGAGCGACGACAACGACTCTCGGAATCGGTCTGCTTGCAGCGCCCCACCGGCTGGTGGCGCCTCCTGGCGGGCCGCGCTGGGACCGCCGCGGCGCCGCGCTGTTCCTGGCCGTTCCGCGGGGCGCGCACAGAGGGCGCCTGTGTCGCCGCGCGGGGGACTTCGCGGTGGCGGCGTCGCGGTGCCGCACTCGGCCCCACACGGCCGCACCTCCACTGTTGTTGTGAGTGACGTCTTCGCACGCCGTCACTGCACTGGGCCTGGCGGACCGGGCGTCGGCCGTGACGTCGGTGTGCGTCTCGGCGCACAGTGTGCCAGAAGACCGTTGGGGCGGCCAAAATCCTAGACGCGTTTTGAGCTCCAGAGTCGCTAAACAGGACTCAAACCGAACGTGCGACCCCACCAATGGATTCCTCGTTCGGAGAGCAATCCATTGGTGGGGTCACACGTTTGGTTTGAGTCTCATTTGGCGACTCTGGAGCTCAAAACGCGTCTTGAGTTTTGGCCGCTCTACCGGTCCTCTGGCCCACTGTGGGGCGGACGGGTCCCTGGCAGCGTTTTGACTCGGAAGTGACGCTTGCACAAAGGGCGGCCAGGGCTTTGTATCGACGGAACGCACGGCTCGGCGACGTGGAAAGAAATACTATCGTGTGCGTGTGATCTTTCTGCCTGTTGAATTCTTGACTGGAAAGCAGTGACCGATCCAGTGGTCGCTTTTGGGTGGGGCAAAGCTGTTTTAGTCTACTAACTGGGGCAAAACATGGAGCTTTGCCTACCTTTCAGGCGGCTTAATGGCGCCTATGCTCCTTCCGTGTATCTGCGCCTGCTAGATGCTATGTTACAGGGTTCGAACATCAGTTCACTTGACACCCGAAAAAGTGGGATATTTCCATAGAGAAACGCTCTTGAGAATTCCATTTCTACATTGTAATAACGGCAGGCTCAAGACGATTGACAAGATTTGCTGTAATGAGCAAGAACCTAATTTTTACTTGGGTGTACTCATTTTCTTCTTTGCGTGAGCAGGCACGGGCCTAAGAACGGAGACGTTGTAAAGGTTCCAGGTGGTGATTGCCTGCAGTTCGCCTGGGAGGTTTCCTCCTGGCTGCCTACACTCTGGGGCGTTTCGGAGACGCGGTGCCGCTAACGAGAACACCGCAAGGCAGTCCCCTCCGTCCCCTCATTCCACGCATGTTGGTACCGCGGCCGCTCGGCGCCGCTCGGCGCGCACCCGCGTTCTAGTTGGGCACTGTGTCAGCAGCGTGCCTGCGGCGTGCCTGCAGAGAGTCGTTCTCTTCGCTCTGTCTCTCTCGCACTCGCGGGGCGTCCCGTGCCGTTGCGAGAGAGACAGCGCGACGAAAACGACTCGCGGCCCGCTGCAGTGTACCGCCGCGGCGTGGCCTCCTCCATGTAAGGCGCGGTCGGCTACTTGCCGGTATCTCTCTCACGGCCACCCAGAGTCCCAGAGGCACTGCGCCGCGCTGCGCTTCGTCCGCCGAGCCTGAGCCGCGCCGCAACCTGAGCGGCCTGCAGTCGCCCTGTCTCTGTCGCGCTCGTAGGGCTCGCCGTCAGGGCGCGAGAGAGACAGAGCGACGAACCGATCTTCTGAACCGCTCGCTCGGCTTGCAGGCCTGGCCTGGCCTAGCCTTGGCGCCGCTTGCAGTGTCTTGCAGTCGCCGGGGCTTTATTCCCCGGAATGGGAGCGAGCGACGCGGAAATCCGGCGGTGTGCGTCCGTCGCGCTGTCTCTCTCGCACTCGGGGGGCGTCCCGCGCGGGTGCGAGAGAGACAGCGACGAGCACCGCTCGGAATCGGTTAGGTCTGCGGGACTCGGCGCGGGGGAATCGGGAATCGGTCTGATTTGCGAAGATTTCGGGTCGAGATGCACCTCGCCTCTCACGACTGGTTCGTGTTTGGAGTGCAAAGGGGATTGCACCGGGAGTGCCCCGGTCGTCGAGTGTGTGCACTGTGCAGGTGGAGGCGCGGCGGGCGCCTTCTTCGGGTGCATCGCCGCATCGTCCTGGCCGATGCAAGGCGGTGCACGGCCGATACAGTGTGTGTGCACTGGCGGTATTCCGGAACCGCATTGCTCGAGTGTGGGCGTCGCCGTACCCCGCCCCGCCCCGCCCCGCCCCACCCCGCCCCGCCCTTTTGGGCGCGCCACGCCATCAGGTGGCCGCCGAACATGAGAAAGGTTTTATCCCGCAGTGATCCTGATTGCGAGGAGCAGCGGGCCTTGCTGCCTTGCAGTGGGCCGCCCCGCGACGTCGACGGCTGCCTTCGACTCGTTGAGGCGAGGCGCCGAACGGGAACGGGGGCGCAGGGGTTGAGGCGCAGGCACACTCTCTCTCTCTCTCTCTCTCTCTCTCTCTCTCTCTCTCTCTCTCTCTCTCTCTCTCTCCTCTCTCAGTCACTCACACGCAGCAAGGGGTAAAGAGATTGGACAGGCGGCGCTTGATCGAGCGAAGACGGGAGGCGTGCTATGCCTCTGCCTCGGTTCCGCACCTCTTCCCCCCCCCCCCTCTCTCTCTCTCTAGGCCGACGGCGGCGACCTTGCGATACCGTTTAGCCGTAAAGACGCTGCTACTTTTCCACGCTTATTTTTACGCGGCCAGGCAGGCCAGGGACCGGGCGGGGCAGCTGGCTGCATCTGTGGAGGCAGGGCAGGGAGAGTGCTGTGTGTTGTGGTGTGTGTGTGTGTGTGTGTTTTCTGCCGGCCAGCTGACCGCGCGCCGTGTGCTGCCGTGGCGTAGCGTGGCGCTAGTGACGTAGCGGCTGGGTGCCCCTCATCCTTGGGACGCTGCAGACTGATTCCGAGAGTCGTTTTCGTCGCTCCGTCTCTCTCGCACTCATGGGGCGTCCCGGCCAGGTGCGAGAGAGACGGTGACGAAAACGGCCCTCGGAATGGGTCTGCTGGCCGGGCTAGCCGCAGGCTGCGGTCGCCGCGGCTGCCCCACTGTAGGGCCGAGGACGCGTAGGGACGAACTAGGGACAAGGGCGCCGCCCCGGCCGGCCCTCTGATGACGTCACGTCCCGTCACGTCGTCACGTCGGCGTGCTGCAGGGCCCGGCACGGCCTGCAGGGCGTCGTCGCGTGCCTCGCGGTTTTGCATCCGCAGCGCCGCAGCGGCGTGCTGCCAGCCGAAGGATCGTTTCGTCGCTCCGTCTCTCTCGCACCCCTAAGGGACGCCCCATGAGTGCGAGAGAGAAAGACGGAGCGACGAAAACGACTCTCGGAATCAGTCTGCCGCACCGCAGCGGCGCGCAGTCAGTCGGCGCGGACGAGTGCGTGTCAATGACGCTCGCTGTATTCTACCTTCCTCTGGCCTGCTGCTAACATCGGCGACCCGTGGCGCTACCTCACGGACCCTCGGGAACTACTGATATGGCGGGAGATTTTGAACTTGGAATATATCAAAAAAGGTTTGGGAAGTGAATTTTGATCCGTATGACCTTAATTCTAATGAAGATGCTTCCCATGATAAAATATTGTGGCCTAAAGTGGATCCCAGGCACATGATTGACTACTTTTTGGTGTTCCCAAGAACTCGGGTTGGGGTGGTCCGACTAAAGCTTTCTCGACATCTTTTTTTTTTAGACCTACTGCTTTTTCTTGAATTATTGATTGACTTTTTTTGTATGTTTTGTGATCACTGATCATGTTAACCTACTGTCTCATTAGAACTGCAATGTTACTTCTTCTTGAACAATTGAGTGAAAAACTTATTTATGCAGCTTTTTTCTTTAACTTTTTGTACGCAAATGAAGAGAAAAATTGATGTTCCTCACCTTCGTTCAAAGTTTGTATTAATTAAATCTTAACATACACTAACAAATTTGCTCACTTGCTTGCCCTTATCACAGTTTATAAAGAAATCGACACTACAGCCATAATTCTCTCTTAACTGTGATAGTAAGGGAGAGTATGTGAACAATTTGTTAGTATATATTAAGATTTAATAAAATCAATTTCTAAATTAAGGTGGGGAATATTAGTTTTTCACTTCATTTGCGCACAAAAAGTCAAAGAAAAAAGCTGCATAAGTAAGTTTTTCACTCAATTGTTCAAGAAGAAGTAACATTGAAGTTCTAAGGAAACATTAGGTTAACATGATCAGTGATCACAAAACAAAGAAATAGTCAATCAATAATTAAAGAAAAAACATTAGGTCTATAAAATAAAAGATGTCGAGAAAGCTTTAGTCGGACCACCCTAACCCGAGCTCT